AATATCTACAATCATGTGAGCAAACTCGCCAAAACTTCACGTTTAATGTCTGCATGCCGAGTGAAACCTAATGTGCAAATACATATTTGAGTCGCATTTTATCGACTGCTAAACACTGGCAATCCTGTTGGTTTTGTGCGTATGTATCTTCGAGGGAATCGGAAGGCGATCTAACCGAAATGTTATGATAATTTAGAGCTAATAAACTCGTGCTTGTTTATACACGCGCTAAAACCTGCTACAAAAATAAACCAATATAGATCATGATGATAGTGCTTGGGAAGTAAAGCAGAACCATAATACATTCCACGCACTAGACGTGTTCACACTGAAAAAATCGTGTCTATAAAACGGGAGGTGACATTAATTATTTTTTATCAACTTGCGATATAAATACAGCTGTAGCCCCCGCCAATACAATATAGATGCCAAAATTCGTCTCAATAACATTCCACTCACAGTCAAACCAGTCACAGTTAAACACTTTCACAGTCGAGTAATTATTACATAATGCGACGGCCACTAGCTGTCGTCAACACGTGTCAAAACATTCTGAGAACGTTACCAGTATGCCTATATCTAATGCCTACCAGAGAGCGAAAGAAAGAGAGAGACCGAGAGAAAATGAGAGAGAGAGAGAGAGAGGGAGAGAGAGAGAGAGAGAGAGAGAGCGCGAGAGAGAGACAGAGAGAGAGAGAGAGAGAGAGGATCGATCTTATCTTATCAATCTACTATCGTATCTACTATTTATTATCTATCTATGCTATGTAATCTATCTATCTATCTATTATCTATCTATCTAATTATTATCTTCTATCTATGCTATCTATCTATTGCTAGTGCTATCTATCTATGCTATGCTATCTATCTATCTATATATCTATCTATCTATGTAGTTATGTTATGCTATCTATCATATCTAGTCTATCTATTTCTATCTATCTATCTATCTATCTATCTATCTATATATATCAAATTCAATATTTGAGATGATTACTCTTGATATATATCCTAATATATATGCTAATATATATTTGAGCTTCGTATGTATGTTATGTTATGTATGTATTCTGTATGCTATGGATGTATTATGTATGTATGTATGTAATGTATGTATGTATGTTATGATATGTATGTATGTATGTATGATATGTATGTATGTAATGTATGTATGTAATGTTATGTATGTATGTATGTATGTATGTATGTATGTAATGTTGTATGTATGTAATGTATGTAATGTATGTATGTATGTATCGTATGTATGTATGTATGTATGTATGTATGTATGTATGTATGTATGTATGTATGCTATGTCATGTATGTATGTATGTATCTTCCTATAGGCGGCCAAACGCCCAAGCGATCTGGATGCAATTTTCAAGGGCCTCTCTTATAACCGGGGAGTGTTCCTAGATGAAACAACCCCTGTCAACGTCAACTCACCGGAAAATCGTGAAACAACTCCGTTGAACAAACTTCCGTGAATCTCACACAATGTCAGCACTTGACCTGTAGGTGGCTGCCACCACAGAGAAAAAATCGATTCCGCTCAGCTCATCGCGGCTGCTGGTATTGTGAAACGAAACCAATACTCAAAGCACGCCACACAGCACCAGTTTCACACGACAGTTTCAAAGGTATTTTTCCTTTTGTCTACTCAGCTCAGCTCAGAGGTTTAGTTGCAGAATGCTACGATCTCAGAATGCATTGTACATTCGAAAGCTATGCAGTTTCTGAATTCAGTAGGAAAATTTCTTCATTTCATGTGGGCATGGTTGCGTGTCCTCTAATTCTAACTATGAAGCAGCTATAATGAACAAATTTGTATTATTCAGGCTCCTACTTACTATATTCCTTCTTATTTGCTAGCGCATTCACAATGGACGAAGCTGTCGTGGAGCTTGCAAGAGTTTTGGAGACGCAGAATCTCTAGCTATTTGCACCAGCGAAATAAGACGAAAAACATTCTTTATCAAGAGCTTTGCAAATGAAAAGTCAACCCATTCAGTACATCGCTCTATAACTAACTTTTTGTCATTTACACCATATTACCTATATGTCCAGGGGTTCTAAGTTCGGTTGTGCTGTCAATATAAATGTCCATACGATAACAGTTTTTTTCGTTTTTTCCCATGCTTATTATCGCTTATTTTTACCTCCTTTCTAATCTTTATATTGTCTTGCCATGTTATTGTCGATTTCTCTACTCATGTTGGCTATTCTGTCCATTATTATAGTAGCTATGAATTAGTAGCACGATTTACAGCAGGCGCAGCGGGTACCCGCAGGCTAGTGTACATATAATAATAATAAATATATATCTATATATATATATATATAATATATATAATTTCCCGCATTAATTCTTCGGCTTAGGAGGACAAACGGCTGCTATTTTTTATTAATGTGCTCGCGAGAACATGCCCTGTGTGCGCGCGCCTCGTGTATGGGTGTAACGAGCACGCGATGAGTTGTGGGTCACGGCGCAGTAGGCAGCCGATGTCAGGCCCAGGGAGACGCGACAGTTGCTACTGCGCCGCCTCTACACAATGGCACGACACGTGTTCAGTGAGCAGCTGGCGCGGCCGCGCTGGCAGGCTTAATGTGAACGCACACCTAGCCGCATTCATTTAGAATTAATCAGATTTCCGCCTTATTACCTTTGCCGGCAGATGAAGGCTACATCGGTGGAAATTGCCGCTCTGAATAACACAACAGGGGGTGCGAGCGCTCTACATGATATCTTGTTTGTCGACACCGTTAGGCTCTGCTTGAGTGCGCGAGCAATGCGGATACGCCAGCTTAGAAATTCAGGCGATGCTTAAGATTACCGAAGTAGCTTTGGGCTCGCCGTCCAGATACAAGTCCCGGCTGGCTTCACGATTCACGTTTGAAGGCGGAATATTAGATCAGTTATTCTGTC